CTACTCGTTGTTGGTGGAGTGTGACAATGAGAGCAACACAAACATCAGTTTGTGCAGCAATCAGCAGTATGCTTCCTAAATAAAGAAAAAATACTGAGAATGCATTGCACTATTTCTCTGCATGTTTTGTATTGCTCCCTCTATGCTTCTGAAACCAACATAATTCCCTGATATTTTCTACAAAACCCACATTAGAAGAGGGTTCCAGCTTTTTCTATCTATTTACACCCCACCTCCCCCGAATGGCTTCATTTAGAGTACAGCTCTTGGGAATTGAATGTGTAAGGCCTTTTTGGGAGAAAGCTGTCAGCTGCAAAATGACTTGGTGGGTGATCAAATTGGGTCCAAGATTATTGCCTTCAAAACATGATGCAAAACTCCCCAGTTTTTGAAAATCTTCCCTTTATAATGAAGATTAGTAATAAAAATGAATTCATAACAAACATTTTAAAACAGGGGTGGGGAACCTCAGGCCCGGGGATCAGATGCAGACCATGGTTTGCCTGAACCCAGCCCCTGAGGTTCAGCACTGGGAAGCCTGTACTGGTGCTCCAGCCACCCACCTACAGGGCTGGAGCACACAAAATCTACTAGCCTGGGCCCCCCAGGCGCTGGCGTGCGAGAGGAATGTGAGGAGTTTCATGCTCCTTCTCAGACATGGCCTTCTCGCTTGGCTTTTACTTGTATGCAGCCTCCAATTGATTTTTCTGTGCATCAGCGGCCCCTAAGCCAAAAAAAGATTCTCCACCTCTGTTTTTAAAAGTGCCTAGTAAGCAAAAATATACCAACAGAGCCAATACAATTTACAGTCCTCTATGTAGAGAATATTGGGCTAGATTCTCCAGTTCGTTGTGACTTTTTTGCACTACATTAGCTATGTAAAGCAACCTTACTGAACCCAAAGATAGCCATCAGAATATTCCCCAGGTGCAAGGCAATTTTCCACTGGAATATAGCTGGAGGAGATTGCTGTAGCTCTTCCTATTCCAGCCCCCCAAACCCTTCCCCACACACTCCACTATGTATGGTAAAAGGAGGAGAATGTTGAGTGCCTACTGGGTGCCCAATGTAGATGAGGTAAAGATGGGAAGGACCATGACTGAACACCGATCCCGTATGGCTGATCCTTCACGGTACAAGGTTACTTTTTTTCTGTCCTTATATTGCCCAAATTTTCACCAGGTTAAGTTGGGCTGAATCAGGGAGTTTTCACTCTCCACTATTTTTTCAGAGTGGATTAAGGATTGGAAATCTTACAGTTTTTGGAATCAAGATACTTCAATGACTGAAACTCAGTAAATAAACTATTTTTTTAGGATAACCACTTAATACGAAATAGCATTAAAGAATCTACATTCTGTATAGTTGTATAGCAAATGTAGCAGTATAATTTCATGGTTCCTAGATTAGGATATGCCATGTCTTTGTGGTATCAGTTGTCTTTTTCTTCTCTCCTGCCCACCTGCCCCTTTCCCTTTCCCCCCACAGATAGATTTGAGTCTATTTAATATTTTCCTGTGACATTTTATATTGTCATAGCCTGTGCAGTTACAGTTCTGATAGTTAAGGAAGCTATGCAAGCATTGGGCTTGGTAAAAATCTGGCTCACCACACAGCTTACTGTAACACTAGGATTCTCTGAAGAGGTCATTATTTGTGAGTTAGTAATAGAATGGATATTTATTTTATGCCTTTTCTTTGAGTATGCTGCCTTTGTTGGACAGTTTCTCACCTGCTAATTTGTCCAACTGGTTTTTGCAGCTTTTTCCCTTCCATTTCTTGCACCTTTTATCCTTAGTCTCCTTTTCCCAATACATACATGATCTAGAGCAGATCTTACCACACATTTTTTGTGTCTTCAAAGTACAGTCACTGACTCTGGCTGGTGGCTGCTCTGTCAACCATTTCTTTCTGTTCCTCCAGCCCTCCACTCGATGTCTGTGGAGTCCCAAGCTCCCCCATATCCTGGCTGATTGAGAACCAGGCAGTGGCCCAGGAGAGTGCCCTAGCAACCAAGTGCGGAACCACTTCCACTAACAAGAGCTGCCTCCACTGTGGTGCAGACTGGCCCCTCATATCTTCAGAGGTGCATGTTGGAGCCCCTGAGTAGGCTGCGTGGTGCAAGGCACTGATCCCTGCTGATGATGTCAGTGTAAACTCCAAGGTGGCTTATCTTATTGCCCTCAGTAACAGCTGTTCAGGAGTAACAACTGGGCATTGTATGGAGGGGCTGATACTTCTCCCCCTCCAAATTTCTGCTTATGCTTCAGATGATGTTGTGGGAGCAAAAAAATCTGCTGGTGGCTGCATTTGAGAAACACTTCTAGAATTATATTAAATGCTGTTCATGAGATTCTACAAGATAAACTAAATCCTCATTTGAACACTATAATTGAATTAGTTTGAATCTACAACTCTCCATATTTTATATTGCCTTTTTTAAGATGAGGGCAACACTGAGTTTCACAAGTTCCAAACTTCTTTACATTGTAATGCCCTAACTGGGATTTTAGTTTTCCATGAAGCATCTTATCTTATGTATAGAGTTCTGTTATTTGATAGTTGTTACACTTAGTCCTTTGCTGCCAGGCAATAGGAATTTTCCTGACTCTATCTCATCAGTTGTGTTTTACGAAAGTATTATAGCTATGATGTTAATACTTTGTGTAAAGTGAACATAATGTCAAGCATATAAGCGCACAGAAACACTGCCAATATTAATTACCTGCTTCATTTATGTGAAATCAGCTTACCACAATTTACTGGCAGATTTATGTGCAGTAGCACCTACTGTTAGTAGAGTATATACTGTATTACCATGCATTAAATATATTATTGCATAAAGAAAAGAACTGTATGTACTAATCCATAGGGGATTTCCTGTGCTTTGATTTTTTTTCATTACTATCACCAGTCTTGTGGAAAATTAAAATACCTGTAAAATATCAGAAAAAGTAAAACTCACAATTATTTTAAGAATAAAACCTGGTTAGATCACTCTCATTGTTTTATCCTCAGTTTAATTTTTCAAATTATGTTTAACAACCTTAAAGTAGTGTGAGAAAATAAAGCTTGTAATCTGTGCAGATTGCTGATTTAATTATGGAGTTTCAACCTGCATCACCATTAGTGTGAATTAAAAAAACAAAACCCTCTATTAGAAGCTAAATTAAGAACTGATTTTCTTAGAATATAATTATCATGTATATTCAAGAACAAAAAAAATAAAATAAAATCAAGACTCAACATACTCTATACCACTAATACTATTCACAATATTCAGCTGCTTTCACGACATGATTCTTCATACTCTGTATCAAAAGACTGTTTTTAAACAGCACCAAGCTCATTCTTACTTTTAAGGTGACTGTACTCTTCTTCTCTTCTCTGTTCTTGATTTTTTTAGCATAGCATACATACCAGCCTCCAAACATACCAGCCTTATCAACAAACATTTTCATCTGCTTAACACTGCATCAGATGCTTTTCTTAAGTTTCTTCTGTCTGTGCCTCCAAGAAGTAAGCTAATTAATGATGGACTGATTGATGGGCATATGGTGATACTTGATGATTACTAATATTGAGGAGGGAAAATAGCAGTGTTTGTGTATATCTAGTATTTTTGTATGTTCGATTGTGTTCCTTTTCCACACAATTTCATAAGTCATCTGTCAGGTGAAAGTCGTATTTGTACCATACCTAGCACAATGGAGCCCCAAACCCAGTTTGACTCTGAGCTATAATTACATATGAATGGTTTTTTTCCAGTTCTCCGCAGCTATCTTAGTATAGTTCAGACTGCACTTCCACCTCCGGTGCTCTGAGATTTGGGCTGCTTATTTTTTTCCTGTGTCTTAACCCAAGGCCAAATAACTTCCAACTATTCATCACCTTCTTTACCTTTATCCACTAAAGCAGGGGTAAGCAATAATTTTTTAATGGGGGCTGCTTCAACATTTTTTGAAGTGGTCATGGGCTGCCCTGGAAGGGATAGAGCCTTGGACAAAAGGGGCAGGACCTTTAAATAGCAGGAGTTGAAAGGGCTCACGCCTCCCCTGCAGCTCCCAGGCATCATGGGGGCTGTGAGCTCTTTCAATTCCTGCTATTTAAATGACTCTACCTATTTAATAACCATTGAAGATGCTAACAGCTCCCAGAGTGGTATCCTTCCTGTTTTAGGTATCTATCTATTGACTTTGATTTTTATCTGCTTAGGTTTAAGTACCCATTTCCAAATACTTAATGATGCTCTATCTCCCACCTCCCTCCCTTTTTCTTTCTCTTCCCTCTCCTATTTATTTGGAGTTTTCATATACCCAACTCATAATTCCAGTCATCTGAAGAAGTGGGCTGTGCCCACGAAAGCTCATGATACCATCTACATGTTTCGTCAGTCTATAAAGTGCTACCAGACTCTTTGTTGATTTGACATATTTATATCTTTCTTACATGTTCACATAGTGCCGTTCTCAGATGAAATAATATACTTCAAAATAGTTTAATTACCAAGCAATTATAAAAATAACAATAACACTTTAGTACTTTTATTGTACTTTTTTATCTATAAAAATTAAATCCTTGGAAAAAAGGAACAAAAGTTGTACCCCTGAGCACACCTCAAAAATCACTCTAATGGCTTTAAAAACAAATGTTTAAATTTTATATGGCTGATGAGAACTCTTGTATATCTGCTTGTTGGTATAATTGTGCATTGTGGCACCTTAAGCATATGTACGTTATACTGAAGAGAGAATCTTTTGCAATTAACAAGTACTAGTGGGCACAATGATAAAGCTGCAGAATATTTGAGCATCCAAATTAAGAACTAAATTTAAATAATTGAATTTCTCATACACTAAATACTCACATTTAGATTACGTGAAACATGTTTCACTTTTACATACATTCACATACAGGAAATACTTGCCTACTTCAAAAATTTAACTCTACATTTATAGACTATATGTAATATTTTGGCACGGGGTTGTTGGTTTTTGCAGATGGACCAGCTTCTTGGTAACATGATTGAAATGTGGGTTGACCGTATGGATAATATTACTCAGCCGGAAAGAAGAAAGCTTTCAGCTTTGGCATTACTTTCACTTCTGCCATCAGATAATAGGTGAGCAAAATGTAATAGCTATCAGTCTGTTAAAATACAGTTAAAAGATCTTACCTTGTGATTTTTTTAAAGATGTTTTAAGGAGACTATACACATACATATGAAGAATTAGTAATTTTTCTTTATCTGTTATTAGTGACCAAAGAAATGAAAAAGCTTAATATAAAATAGTATGAAGTAATTCAACTCTCTTTTTTTTTAGTTTTGCATAGGTACTATAATTGTTCTGTTTGTTTCCCGGACAATATTGCTAAAAAATGTTAAATATATGGGAAGTAAATTATTCTACTTCATGTTCCCCAGGTTAAAATAAGGAGTTGCTGCTTCTTTCCTTTACATTTAAGTTGCTGGATCAATCTGTTTGTTAGGCTTCTAATGTTCCTTTATTAGAACAGTGTTCATTTGGTCTAATTTCATATCAGAGCAGATGTGTCTAATATAGGATTTTTTTCAACATGACAGTAAGAAAAAAAGCTACATAGGAAGATGTTTGTGAACCCAGTAAATGCAGCTTGTTTTGCACCTTTTGCTCTTGGGACCTACCATGGAGAAATAAGACATTTTAAGTAAGCTTTTCTATGCATATGGGGGACTTGCAAACACTGTGTGATCTCCCATTGACTCTGAATGTAGGACTCAGTTTGAGGATATAGGATCAAACCTGACACAGGTATTCTAGTATATGGAGAAGAACTGCACCCTCCATCCAAGTTTTGTAGTTATTACCATCCTAATTCTTTTTTGAACTCAGTTATATTTTTTGCCTTCACAACATCCTCTGGCAATGAGTTTTTAGTTGACTGCATGTTGTGTAGAGAAGTACTTCCTTAGGTTTCTATTAAATCTGCTGACTATTAATTTCAGTTGGTGATTCTTTGTTCTTGTTTTATGTGAAGGGGTAAATAACTTTTTCTACACCATTCATGATTTTATAAACTTCTAGCCTATTCCCATGTTTTCTAAAATGAAGCCCCAGTCTTTTCTCTCTTCTCATATGGAAGCTGTTCTATACCCTTATTCATTTTTGTTGCCCTTCTTTGCATCTCTTTCATTTCTTATATATCACTTTTGTGATAGAGCAACCAGAACTGTAAGTAGTGTTCAAAGTGGCATTATACTATTTATTGGCCTTCCTAATGGTTCCTAACATTCTATTAGGCTTTATTTCTCTGCTGCTGAACATTGAATGAATTGAACATTGAATTTTCAGAGAACTAGCTACAGTGTCTCCTACAATCTGTTTCTTCAATGGTTACACAACACTGAATTTCCTCTGCCATTTTGTTGCCCGATCACCCAGTTTTATGAGATCCTTTTGTAATTCTTCACAGGCTGCTTTGGACTTTACGAGCTTAAGTAACCTTGTATTATCTGCAAAATTTTCCACCTGTTTACACGTTTTTCCAAATCATGTTTGAATGTTTTGAACAACACTGGTTCTTCTTCAGGTTATATCCCTGTGGCTGCTCCATGTAAGGCGTAGGAACGTCATGGAGCGGAGCTTTCTTCAGCAGTTGTCAGTGGACCGCACATGCACGAAGGGAGTCTCACACTGCGTTCAGTGTTTGTGCCTCACACATGTGGCCCACTCCCCCTTCAGTTCCTCTTCTGCCATCCTTGGACATGGACATAATTCTTCATTCTCCTCAACAATCCTCTTCAGGGAGGAAAAACATGTCCGGTTTCTCTTTTTTTCCCCAGTTCTTGTTCTTCTTTGGCTGCTGACTTCTCGTTCCTTGGAAAAAAAATATTTTGCTTGTCCACTGCATTCCCTCACTCCTCCCTCAAAAAAAAAAAAAAAAAAAAAAAAAGAGGAGGAGAAAACGCATATAACAACCACAATAATAAACAAAAGCAGAGACAAAACATTTGGAGGAGAGCCACAACAGTGAAACAGATGCAGGGTATCTTTCTCACCCCTACAACTCTCGCAGCCAGTGCAATGGCAGGTTCCTCTGACTTTAAAAAATGTCAGTCATGCCAAGAGCTGATGCCAGTCTCGGACAAATGTGCAGATTGTATCTGCTACTTGGGGGAAGCTCATGTACCCCAGAAATGTGAACTGTGCCGCGCTGTCACAGCAAGAGCAAGGAAGGATAGGGATCTCCGGCTTCGAATGATTTTATTTGAGAAGGCAATTCAGCCTGAGGACTCTGAAGCCTCCCAGCCGGTGGGACAGGCTCCCAGAAATAGAGCCGCTTCACCACTGACGCATGAGCAGACTAAAAAGGAGCTGTCCCCCTTTAAATCGCTGCCCCCAGCTCCATCCCCTAGAGTGGTTGGAGGGGACAAGATAAATACCCCCAGCACTGGGGAATCAGGGGCTCAAACTGGCACTGCAACCATCAACAATTCCAAGACCTGTTTAAGAAGGTGGCAACCAGCCAAGGCATCCATCTCCACAAAGTCAAGGAGAAACAGCATTGACTCCTGAAAAACATCTGCCCTTCTTCTTCGAGTGGTCTCTGTGGGTGTTCCACTGTAGGCGTCGGGTCCCGTCTTGACGCCACAGTCTGGAGATTTTGAATAGCCATAGTCGGCTGGATCGTGCATGAGCGGTGCAGTCTCACACCGTTCGCGCATCTTGTTTCATGCGCGATCCAGCTCCCTCCAGTTCCTCTCAAACGCCGTGTGTCACAGAGTTTCCTTCAGCTCCGCATTCTCCTTGTCTTAACCTAGAATAGTTATAAATAGTTAGCTAGATAGTAGTATTAGTTAGTTAATTGTTCGTCGTAGTCATTCTCTTTGTTCTGTTTAAAAAAATAGTTTTTCTCTGAGACTGTGTATAATTACCGCTTAAACCCCCTTCCCAAAGGGGAAAGAAAGCCAAAGACAACAGTAATTTCAACATGCCGGGCTCCCCCGGCTTCAAGAAATGTAGTCTCTGCCAAGACGTGATGCCGGCCTCCGACGGCCATTCTTCATGCAACAGGTGCTTTGGTGAGGACCATGTGCCGCAGAAGTGCTCCCATTGCACTAAACTCACGGCTAGAGCACAGCACAACAGGGAGATACACCTCCGAATAATATTATTCGATAAGGCTCTTCACCCTGTGCAAGCCGAGTCACTACCTTCTTCAGATGCGACATCTCCTCAGAAGCGGAGGGCGTTCTCTCCGGGGACAGCCCCTGTGAGAAAAAAATGGGTGTCACTGGCATGATCATTACCACCGGCCCCAGTAACAGAGTGAGCACAGGAAGCAAACTGGGCACCTCTGGTACTGCCTTCCATAGGCCAACTTCAAGCCACAAAAAATCGGCGGTTACAGCACCATCAGCACCGAGTGCTATATCTGCTCTGAGTGCCTCGCTGACTCCCGCTCTGACGCCCCTGACACTGAAGCCGACCTCACGGGCATCGGAGCAGTCCACGCTGGAGCCCGCGGCATCAAAGCGGTCCGCAGCCGCAGCACCAAAGCAGTACATGACTGTGCCTCTCCATTGGCGCCGCAGTTTGAACTAGTACTGGTAACAATCGACGAACCCATTCATCCAATCAAGGCTCCAGAAAAATCAGACAAGCGTAGAAGTGTGACGCTTATGTCACCATCTCCAAGGTTCTCCCCGACACCGTCTCCCTCTCCACCAGCGCCAAGATCACTAGAGCTCCATCACTACCATGGCACCAAGAGCACTATATATATGATAGGTGAGCCAGGTTGCCATCACCTCATAGATCGTTACCATACCCGCAGTATCAACATCACTCCAGGCACATGTCTGTGTCACCTCCCCCTTCCTGCAGGAGCTTGGTGTATTATTCTTGTTCACCCGACAATGGCAGGCATTACACTACCTCGTACCGACAGTCCCCTCCTGGCAGATACTGTTACTACCATAGGGATCACATGGCTCATTATCGTCATTCCAGGAGAGCCTCCCCTTCCTATTGCCGATCTGCTAGTCAAGCATCACTTCCGTGATCGGCACGTGTCAACAAACAGAGTCTCTTCCACCTCCACTTCTCCTCCTCGGGTGCAACAACCACTACACCCCATGGAGAGTCAGTTGTCAGACATGGAAGAACAACACCATGATCATTCACCAGAACAATGGTCATCTTCCTCACCCAACGAAGCAGTAATACCACAGGACATTTTCCCCCCCAGATGATGTCAAGCAGTTTCAGAAACTCTTTAAAAGGGTGGCAACATCTCAGGAGGTTCAGCTAGTTGAGGTGCGGGAGAAGAGACATCATCTCCTGAAGAACTTGCAGCCCGCACAAAAATCCAAAGTGGCGCTTCCAGTTGATGAGGCCATCATGGAAGTAGCAGAGGAGATTTGGCAGTCTGCCACATCCATACCTCCGACAAACAAAAGAATGGCCAAAAAGTATTCCATCCCCTAAAAGGGCTTAGACTTCCTTTTCAATCATCCTCAGCCAAATTCAGTGGTAGTAGATGCTGTACAGCAAAGGGAGACAGTATAGAGCAACAGTCAGGTAAGGACAATAGGAGACTTGACCTCTTTGGTAGGAAGGTCTATTCCTCAGCCACCCTATTGTTAAGAATTGCAAATTACGCAGCATTGTTGTCTAATCATGATTTCGACAACTATTCAAAACTGAACACACTTATGGACTGCCTTCCAGAGGCAAAGAAACCGGTTCTGAAGGCAATAGTGCAAGAGGGCTATGCATCAGTCAGAACAGGACTGCAGGTTGCCTTAGATACGGCGACACATGTGCTCGAGTGGTGGCTACTGCCATAGCTATGAGAAGGTCGTCCTGGCTCTGCTCTGCAGGAATCCCCAAAGAATTACATACTAAATTGGAGGACCTCCCATTTGACAAAGTAAAACTATTTGCAGAAAAGACAGATGGCGTTTTTCATTTGGGAAAAGACACACGAACCACCCTGAAAACTCTAGGGATGTATACTCCTCCATACCATAGAAAGCGCTATCAACCATTCCAGGGGCGATATGATGTTCACTATAGGCAGCAGCACCAACAGCGAACATTTGACCAATTGCAACCTAGACAGCACCCACAAAGGAGG